GGCTATCAAGTTGATAACATCTTCATAGTAACAGTATCAATAACAACAACAAGTTGATAGCATCTTGATAGTAGTAGTATCAATAACAACAACAAGTTGATAGCATCTTGATAGTAGTAGTATCAATAACAACAACAAGTTGATAGCATCTTGATAGTAGTAGTATCAATAACAACAACAAGTTGATAGCATCTTGATAGTAGTAGTATCAATAACAACAACAAGTTGATAGCATCTTGATAGTAACAGTATCAATAACAACAACAAGTTGATAGCATCTTGATAGTAACAGTATCAATAACAACAACAAGTTGATAGCATCTTGATAGTAGTAGTATCAATAACAACAACAAGTTGATAGCATCTTGATAGTAGTAGTATCAATAACAACAACAAGTTGATAGCATCTTGATAGTAACAGTATCAATAACAACAACAAGTTGATAGCATCTTGATAGTAGTAGTATCAATAACAACAACAAGTTGATAGCATCTTGATAGTAGTAGTATCAATAACAACAACAAGTTGATAGCATCTTGATAGTAGTAGTATCAATAACAACAACAAGTTGATAGCATCTTGATAGTAGTAGTATCAATAACAACAACAAGTTGATAGCATCTTGATAGTAGTAGTATCAATAACAACAACAAGTTGATAGCATCTTGATAGTAGTAGTATCAATAACAACAACAAGCTGATAGCATCTTGATAGTAGTAGTATCAATAACAACAACAAGTTGATAGCATCTTGATAGTAACAGTATCAATAACAACAACAACGAGTTGATAGCATCAAGTATACGATGACCAAGCATAATAATAATCTCACCTGTAGCATGGTCACTATCGCAACTACTCTCAACAGTTCGCTACGAACAAGTCCGAAGACCAACTCTCTCACTTCCTCAAGTCGCCTTAGTCGATCAAGAACACCTAAAAAGAACCCTACCACATCATCCAAACACGACCCATCAACCTAATACTTTTAACAAGTCTTGTGAAACTATGAACTCTCGTCGTGCCATCACCGTAACCATACGGAGGTTTCCTTGCAGCATTCAGAACATCCATATACCCTTCCCACACCTTCCTCGCTAACAGCTCCAACTCCTACATGATGCACTACTACATGATGAGGAATAATATATATTCAACTATTATTAATTATCTATATGATAGTTTGTATTTTTGACATTTTGTCGGGCCCAAGATAAAAGGCAGTATGAAAACCATCAAGAATGGATCGTCCGAACATCACTGCAGTTAATCTAATTTGTATATACATTTAAGATTAATATTTACTATAACTTGTATCATATCATCCATTACATCTGTTTACCTATTTTATTGGCGGAAATGATAGCACGCATATGTTTCCGCGACCAATAACACAATTATTCTCCACCAAGTCAAATGTGAAATATGTTCCCACAAGCCTTTTCCATATCCTGGGTAAAACTCCATTATTCTTTATCATCTATCAATACACGATTTTGTTATTCCTTCAAAAATCATTGTATTCACCATTAATATTATTCAACAATTACTCCCCGCTTACATCGAGCTCGATCTTAAAACCATCAACCGGATCATCCGGTTCGCTTCGAGGGGTCCAAGCCATGTAGAAACCAGCATTATCAGATATACCTGAGGGGAAAATGCCGCCACCATGAATCGAACCCGGGACATCCCTCTCCTCACCCGAGATGCAAGTTTGGACCCCTCTACCACTGCCATCATCAGCCTCCTCGTCATATTCAATTTCAAATCTTCCCTTTATATCCCTACCACTTCATTTCCAAATCCATCCCATCTCCAACCTACCCCATCTCCTTCCTCCTAGCCTCAGCAAGAGCATCTTCGAGCACAGCAATTTGACTTCGCAACGACGCCACGACTGCTCTCAAGGACTCCATCTAAATCACCAACAAATACTCAACACAGATAGAGACAAATTGTAATGATTGTGTAATGAGACTGTGTCTCATTTTGTGTATTTGTATATCTAATATCTCACCGAAAACTAGCGCTGTTCTATTATGAAATTAAATTGGAAACTTATGCCTTTAAGGATGATAGTGTTGTCACTATCATCAATGGATTCAATACAGTAGTGTTGTCACTATCATCAATGGATTCAATACAGTAGTGTTGTCACTATCATCAA